TCAGCCTGTGTGTCCCTTTGAACTCCATCATACAGAGCCATCTTTCTAAAATGTCAAACCAAGCATGTTGCTTCCATGGCTTCCTACTGCCAGGATACCAAGTTCCTTCCTTAGCATGACATTTCAAGGGCCCTCTGTGATTGGGCTTCTGCCCATATCTCCAGTATAAACATCTCCAGTTCTCCTTTTGATAGAGCTCTCTGCCTTCCACTTCCTAGGTGGTACCCAAGGGAATTACTTGTAGTCCCAGGAGGAGAGGGCTCTCTGTTTTGACTTTCCATTCCTTTGTTACACTCCTCCCTGAGTAAAACTCTTTATCTTTTGTTTGCCTAATGAATACTATGCTATTTCAACTCTTGCCTTCCTTATAAACCCTTTTCTCACTCCCGCCCACATTCACCTTTGTACACATATTCTATTTGGTCAAACTTCTATAATAGCACTGATAGCACTTGATTGGATTTGTTCGATCCTGACTATCTTCTCTTAATAGGTTGCAAACTCTTTGAGGTCAAGGCCCATAAATTATTCATCTATCACCAGCCCCTAACCTATCCTGTGTCTAGCACATAGAAGGCACTCAGTTTTTATTAACCAATGTCACCCAAAAAGTCAATAAAACACAATAAAGTAAAATAAAGAAGGCACGCAGTAAATACTGAGAATGAACAATTGTAAGCTGAATTATCTAGATAGCTACTGTCCAATACATAGCCACTAGCCACGTGTGACTATTTCATTTAAATTTTAATTAAAATAAAAAATTCAGTTCCTCAGTCACACTAGCCACATTTCAAGTGCTCAATGGCTACTTGTGGTTACCATACTGAATGACACAGATTATAGAAGCTGCCATCATGGCCAAATTTCTACTACACAGTGCTGACCAAGGTAATTCTTTATTTTTTCATTTCAATTTAATAAACATTGATTTCTACTATATGCTAACATTTGTGCTAGGCATGGTGGTTATAGTGAATTGTAATAAAACTATTATTATTATTATTATTTGCAAGGCATTCAAAATCTGGTAGAGAGAAACCTTGCAAAATGAGAGAAATTATTTCCATATTGGAACATTGGGGAAGATTTTACAGAGATTTTTTTTTTCATTTAAACTGGGCATTTAAGAATGGAGAGAATTTGAATGGGGCAAATCTTGGAAATTGAGAGAAAATAGTGTGAGCAAATGTACAGAAGTGGGAAAGTACTAGGAAAATGAGAAGAATTTAGTTTGCTTAGAATGTATGGCGCATGAGCAGGGAGTAATTGTTTCATTTATTCAGTCTTTCAATTGTTGAATAAATAATTTTGGAGCACCTGTCCCGTTTAAGTCTATATACTAAGCATTGGGGTTACAACAGTGACCTATACAGACATTGCCTCAGCAGAGTTCACACAGTTATGAGTGATGAGATTCAGATAAGACTGTGGAAGGCAATGAAAGCTACTCTACAGAGTTTGTACTTTGTTCCTCAGGCCCTCGCCTGGCAGTGTGGACTTTATTTATTTATTTTTTATTTTCAAAGTGTGGACTTTAGAACAGTAATGTGGGCTGGGCATGACCTGGGAGTTTGTTAGAAATACAGAATCTCAGGTTCCATCCTGAACTCAGACTTACTGAATCAGAATTTGCATTTTAGGAAGATCTCTAAGTTATTCCTAAGCATAGTAACATTTGAGGGGCATTGTTATAGGTCAACAATTTTCAACTGGTGTGCCGCAAGAATTAAAACATGCAATACCTGACTATTTAGTAAGGATCACTGACTTCTTTTTCCTTAGACTGTCAAATAAAAAAAAATGACAACATCCGTCACAACAATAGCCATCCAATGTGAATGAATAAAAATTATACCCATTTTTGTCAGATCAGCAAAAATTATATTTTTTGACCTACTGAAGAATTTTAGTAACTAATTTATGTGTGCCATGAGATGAAAAAGGTTGAAAGTTACTGCACTAGGCCAACTGAGCCAATTACATAGTATGTAAGTGAGCAAGTTAAGAGTAAGGCAGTATGAAGGTGGCAAGTAAGCAAGCATAAAAGTGAGTAAGGAAAGTAGTATTCAAATCAGTATTGGGTTGGACGCAAAAGAAACTGGTCATAGGACTATTACTGTAGCTCAGACGAGAAGTGGGAGGGGTTGTATGGGAGAGACATCGAATCTCTTGTTCATAGATATAGCTTCAGTTTCATTAACTCATACTGGAAATGTATGTTATTCAGAGTAAAAAAAATCAGCAGATTCTGTAATATGGTACTTGAGATGGTTTTTTTATTTATTTATTTATTATTTTTAGAGAGGGAAGGGAGAAAGAGAGAGAGAGAGAAACATCAATGTGCGGTTGCTGGGGGCCATGGCCTGCAACCCAGGCATGTGCCCCGGCTGGGAATCGAACCTGCGACACTCTGGTTCGCAGCCTGTGCTCAATCCACTGAGCCACGCCAGCCAGGCGGTACTTGAGATGTTTTTAAAAAGTGCCAGCTATATGTTTTAGACAAGGCTTATTCGTATGTCCATTTCCTGTTGACACTACAGGTCCATGGTCTACTCCCGAGTGTTGAAGTATCAGGCCCTTAATTGTGTAAGTTCATGCAGGGGTAATGATAAGGATCCCAAAAATTAAGTCATTATATCAAAGTTAACAAAGAGCTGATTTGTGAACTAGAAATTCAATTTATTAATTACAGTGGAGTAATTACTTTTCTACCAACCAGATATTTTTCTTTTATTACCAGCATTACATTTTTTTTACAACTTTTAATTTTGAAAGTTTAGGACTCACAAGAAGTTACAAAAATAATACAGACAATTCCAATGTACCCTTCATGCAGCTTTCCCCAATGATAATAGCTTACATAACCATAGTACTTGCCAAATCCAGGATATCAACATTGATATAATACTATTAATTCAAGTACAGACCTTATTTGGATTTCACCATTTTTTTCATGTTCTCCTGTGTGCGTATACTTCTATAAAATTTTATCACATGTAGATTTAAGTAAATATCATCACAATCAGGAAACACAGCTGTTCCATCACGACAAAGATGCTCCCTCCCATTACTCACTAATAGTTACACCCTTTCCTCCACCCTAACCCTTGCCAACTGCTGATTTGTTCTCCACCACTACAATTTATCATCTTGAGATCATTATATAGTGGAGTCACACTGTGTAACTCCTTGAGACTGACAATTTTTCCACTAAGCAGAATGCCCTTGAGGCCCATCCAAGTTGTCACATGTATCAGTAGTTCCCCTTTATTGCTCAGTAGTATTCCATTGTAAGAATGTGCCACAGTGTGTTTAACCATTTTACCAGCTGATGGACCTTTGGGTTGTTTCCTGTTCTGGGCGATCGCAAGTAAATCTGCTATGAGCATTTGTGTACAGGTTTTTGCATAAATGTAAGTTTTCATTTCTTTAGGATAAATGCTCAGGAATGATTGCTGGGTCATATTATAAGTAGGTATGTTTAACTTCATAAGAGAGTGGCACATTATTTTCCAGGGTAACCAGTACAAGACCTTAAAAATTACATAGGTAATGTATGTAAAAATTACATAACCATAAAAAATTAACATAAGGTAACAATATATATACTAAAAAGCAAAATTACAAGCCCTGAAACCCTGCACTGACACTTTCCTTGAGAAGTAACTGTTATGTTTCCTGTATATTCTTCAAGAATATCTTATACATATGCAATCACATATATATGTAAATATATATATTCACAAATGGGATCATACTATACAAGCTATATGCAACCTGATTTTTTTTTACTTAGCGTCTCTTAAACCTATTTGCATATATATATATACATATATATACACATATATATATATACATATATATATATACATACATACATATATATATATATATATATATATATATGCTTGTTTTAATGATGGGCATAGAACTCCATTGTATGGATGTATCATGATTTCTTTAATCAGTCCCTTAATGACACCTTTTCTATTGTTTCTCTTTATTACAAAGCTATAATGAAAATCTCTCTACATATGGTATATCTTTGTGTAATTTGCATGAGCATATCTGTATGACAGAAATGAAAATGCTAGCTTAATTTTACAAGTTGAGATACTTTTTTAAACAGTTTACACTCCCACCAATGATATATGAGAATTCTTAGTTCCTCATCAACACTAAGTATTGTCAAAATTTTTAACTTCTGCCAATCTTGTAAAAGTGGAATTTAATTTGCATGTCTTGGTGGTGAATGAAGTTGAGCACTGTTTTATACATTTATTTGCCATCTGCATATCTTGTCCAAAAAATTAGTTGACTTTATATCCTTTGTCTGTTTTTCTAGTAGAGTATTTTTATATTATTGATTTGTGACAGTTCTTCATATATGAAGGAAATTAACCTTTTTCATTCATGTAGCAAATATTTTCCTCACAGCTTATAGTTTATCCTTTAACTTTGTTATTTTGATATAATTTAAAATTTCTGTGAACTCAAATTTATCCATCTCCAGGTTTCTGAAGATGGATAAATGTTAGAAAATACAAAATATATACATATGTGGTTTAGAGTAGGAGACTATCTGGAAAACTTAATTTTAATCAGAAGCTTGCTCCATTTGTATGGAGTCACAGCAAAGAGAATTGTGGGATGCTTTTTTCAGACTATGGTAAGGCTGGAGGATTATTTCTGCTACACTGTGGGATATGCATTTCCAGTGACCAGAACATTTTTGCATTCAATAGTGCCATGCCCCTTACATCGTATCAAAAGTGCTAACTATTCAACTTTCCTCTTTCAGTATTTATCAGGCACCAAAAGCTTCTGCCATTACAATAGTATTTCATGAAGGACACACTACAGATACTTAAGATTAAAACTTATTTCTTAAAAGATTTTATTTAATTATTTTTAGAGAGAGAAGGAAAGCAGAGAGGGAGAGAAACATCAATGTGTTGTTGTCTCTCACGCACCCCCTACTTAGGGGACCTGGCCTGCAACCCAGGCATGTGCCCTGACTGGGAATCAGACCAGTGACCCTTTGGTTGGCAGGTCGACTCAATCCACTGAGCCACACCAGCCAGGGCTAAAACTTATTTTATATCAGTTACATATTTCATTTGATGGCATTTCTCACATCGTCCTCAAATTACTGGGGTGTACTGTGGTCTTTCAGTACCATATGAAATAAATTCCACTTCTTAGGATAGGACTGGAGCACACAGCACTGTGTTCTGCACATACTGAAGACTCAGTCAGTATTTTTGAATGAGTCCTAGGGGAAAAAAGAAGGGGTACTATGAAACATTGTTTAATATCAGTATAAATTTGTTACAAAATGTTTCTGATGTTATACTAGTTAGTTACTATTCTTCAGTGGTATTTTTCACAAAATGAAAGTATGTTTACAAAGCAGAGGAACTTCTCAATTTTTTTCAAAGCATAATAAACTTGTTTTAAATTTCAGATGCTACATAATCAGCCGAGAACGTGAGTTTATAAAATAGATGAAAAACTGCAACATGTAGTATAAATGTGATGTTTAGAGCAGAAAATCAGTAGTTTTGAACAAAAACTAAAACAGGAAATCATTTAATATCAATTGATATTAAATTGGCACAATTGAACTAAATTAATGTAAAATGATTTGGTACAGAGCCCAATTTTTCTATTACTTTAAGTGGAATTTTGCATTAACTTACATAACTGTAAATTTTCCACTACTCTCTAATGTTCTAGCCGCATCATTCTGTAACTTGAATCTATTAAAAACTGTATAACATTCTACCAAAGATGATCTATAAAAGAGATGGAAATTTATTTTGAATGGTATTGCACTGCCCAGAGCTTCAGAGGTAAGTAAAAATGTCTCTGATTTTAGTTTTTGTTATTGATATTTAGATGTTTGTTTAACTTATATTATTTGGTTTATTAAATATACCATAATTCTTTTTTTAAGTTGCAGGACAAAACCCAGTAAGTACAGAGGATAGGAGAGAAACTAAAACACAGGCGTAGAAGGAATGTAATTTAAGGACTGAAAATAATCATTATATTGCATCAGGAATGCTTTAGACATGATATTGGGTGAAATCTCCATGATTTACCAGGGGCTTGCAGTATTTCTCATTTGAAAAATGTCTTGTTATTAATTACATTTATTCTTTTTGTTCTAATCAAAGGAAATTTAATATTAAAGGAAATTTTTAAAAAACAACAAAAAAACAGAAACAAAGGGCTAACTAATGATTGTATGAATCTGGGAACGTCTATAACAGCAATGGAGACACTGTAATAGGTCACTTCTTCCTGTCCTAGGAAAAGCTGCGCTTCGGAGGCGACAGGCCCTCTTTGAGTTTATCTTCTCCGCCTAGAAAGTTCTTGGCAGTCAAAGGGCCAGGAAGCTGGACTGAAACAAACAAACACACACGAAGAGTGATAAATACCTAAGTTAACTGGAATCCAAGGAGCGGAAGAGGTCCTTTCGCACTTCAAACATCTTGGGGGAGGGGTAAGGAGACAGAATAAGGAACCAAAATTCTTAAAGTCTCGAAGCCACCCGCCGCCCACGTTTCAAGGAAGACGGTGGACATGCGAGGGAGGCGATGAAGACCGTGTAGATCCCCCTCGATTTCTTTTACCCAAATTTCATTTCAATTTTCCTCCACTTCGTTCGGTCCCGTCCTCCCACCCCACAGCCCCAAGAGTCGAGAATAAATTGGTCGGACGCCTGGCCTAGCCTAACAGTAGCCCAGTTCCCTGGTCTCCCAAACCCCAGAGAGATCGAAAGAGACCACGTTTTCTGGGAGACCGGAATAGTGAGTTTTAAAGAAAAAAAATTTGTTTCCAGTGTAGGTCTTCTGATAGAGAATTAGCTCGCTTTCTCGCCACACTCAAAGCAAAAAGCACACAAAACAAAAACTTAAAAAGCAAAACCCCTAAATCACTTGGGATCAGGTGCCAGAGCTAGGCAAGTTAAGTCGTTCTGGAGGTAAGGACTAAGGGAAGGCAGTGAAGTGAGGGTTCGGGAACTGGGGCCATGGCCCCTTGCTGGGGCGTGTCAGAGGAGGGGACGTCGCAGGGTGATGCCCGATTGAGCTGCTACCGCGGGCTGGGCGAGGGGCAGTAGGGCGCGGGGAACTAGTCCCGAGCGAGACCGCTTTCTGATTTCCCACGGCCCGACGCTCCGCCGGACAATCCTGCCGCCCTCCCGCCGACCCCCCAAAAAGAGATAGGAAAAGCGGCCCTATCGGGACCGCGGCGGAAGCGCTGCCAAACGCATGAGTAAGTCAGGCGCGGGCACGGCACCTTGTTTACCCCACTCGGCGGCGCGCCCCTGCGGGCGCCCCGTTTGGAGGCGGTGTCCGAGACGCTGCACCCGAGAGGCAGCCGACCGCGATTGGCTGGTGACTGGGAGGAGGACCCGGGGTGGGAGGATTAGGAGCCCGGCCCTGAAGTACCAGCGCGCTGCCGCTAGATGCCGCTCCCTCCCAACGGGAACCGGGCGCGGGTTCGTGGCCGACAGATGGCGCCTGCGCGTTCCATTCGCCTCTAAGTCGCCGAAGAGCGAACACCCCAAACAATCCCGAAGCGCCACCAAGAAAGAAAAAAAGAAAAAAAAAAAACCCCGCCGGATCCGACCGCCACTTTCAAAACCCCCCACCGCTCTAGAACCGCGGGAGCTTCCGTCCCTGAGTAGAATTCGAGGGTGTAAAGAAGAGGAAGGGGAAAATATCTTGTACCAGCCCAGGGGTGAAGAAGCCCCCGGCCTGAGAAAGAAGGAAGGAGAAGTGGGGGAGGCGAACAGTCTCGTTGCTGCCTCTGTGTACGCTGAGGGGGGAGGTAAGTTATAAAATGGCGGAGGCGAAGCTTCTAGAAGTTTGGAGGGGCACCCGGAGGGCGCGGGGCTCACCGTGAGGTGTGTATGGTTGAAATAGGGCGCGGGAGAGGAGTTGGGAGGGAAAGCGATTGGGCGCTCCGTTGCCATTTAATTCCCCGTCTTCTTCCTTTGCCCCCAGCGGGGCCAGCCTGGAGTGGGTATAGCAAAGTCAAAGCGGGGGTACTCCTCTTCGTCCCCGCATAACCCCCAGCCCTTCTTTCTCTGTTGATCCCCCCAAGTCCCTACCTCCACAGTACCAAGGAACTTCCAACCCTCTTCCTACCTCCTACTCTTAGAGTGGCTTTCTACCGCAGGACTCTTCTTTTGGACTACCCTCGCCGAAGATTTTCTCTTCCTTCCCTCGCCCCACTCTCCCTCGGGGCCTCTACGGAGGACCCCCCCAATTGGTGGCCCAAAATGGAGAACGCGGAGCAGCGCAAGATGGAGGCTCCGCTTGTCTGTGTAGCATTAGATTTAGGTGCCTTTTCTCCGGCAGGCTCTTAAGGCTGGAGAGCCAAAACTGGAGGTGGGGTGGGGTGTAGTGCAAGCCTAGTCGGGGTAGGCTAGCCGGGGAGGTTATGAGTGGGTGGGGGGGAGCGGGGTATGATGGTGAGGGGAAGGAAGAGAGCAAAATGGTGGTGCTGGGAACCTGGGGGGAGGGGAGAAGAGGAGGCTCAGTTGTGTATATTTGGGCCTCGGACCGAGGGAGGCGAGGGAAAATCTACTCTGATCACACCCCTCCCTCTTGCCCCCTCCCTTCTCTCTTCCCCTCCTTCCTTTGCTCCCTCCCTCCCCTCCCTCCCTCTCTTCCTCCCTTCCTAGAGAGGGAACAACATTCATGTGACGGGCCCCTCGGCTTCTCCCCCGCCCCATCATCTCCAGCGCGTGGTGGGGAAACTGCCGGGGAAAGCGATTGGCATCGATCTCTCCATCCTTTCCGAGGCCCGACTTCGGTCAGTTTTGTTTAGACAACAATTTTATAAATTAGGTTGGGATCTGGCGGTGTTGGCCCCCTCGTGCAGCCCTTGCCCCGAAGGGGGCCCTGCTTGGTTGGCATGGGAGGAGGGGGGGAAGGGCGGGAGTGGAAGGCTGTTTGTTGGGGGGTTTTGGCGCCACTTTTGTTTTAGTTTTAGTGCTGCTTTTCGTTCCCACCCCCACCCGCGCTGTCTTTCTCAAGATACGAAGTGAGCTGATCATTGCCCCAGGTAGGCAGCTTCTCCTTTTCCCCTTCACACTTTTATTCTGGCTGGGGATTGACTTTCTTTTTCCTTCTTTCCCGTACCCGCTGATGTGTGCACGGCGATCCTGGGGACGAAAAGGGTCGGACAGGCGATGGGGGAGAGAAGGTGTGGGAAACAGCATCAAGTAGTTCCGCAAAACTTTGAGCCCCGTTCCTATTTTCTTCTGGCCTACATTCGTAAACGTATTGTTGAATTCTGTCCTCATTATTATTACTATTTTTTTTTTGTCGCGAGAATGTCTTGCCTTTTAGTTTCTTTTAATAAGCAGCTGTACTTTCGACGGTTTTCGCTCCCCCTTGTGTATATATCATTTTATTTTTAATCTTTGAGTGTAATGGGTTTTACCGTGTTTTTTTTCGTGTGTGCTGCAGTGTTCAGCTTTAATTTTTAATATTGCATTAGTTTCATCCAGTTTGTGACTTTCTCCGTGGCCTAGAAATGTTTTATGTTGTTGACTACCACCCCTCTCTTCTCTTGGATGTAGTTTTTAAATTCAGGGTCATGGTGTTTGATTAAATGGTTATTTACAGTTTACATGATATACCTATTAGAAACTTTTGATCTGTAGGATTAGGTTTAAGTAAACGAAAAGCTTGCTGGTTTGAGATGGTTCCTTAAAATGCGCGGGCCGCCCCCCCCCCCCCCGCCCAGCGCCCCGTATTGCCCCATCTTCCTCTCACACCGGTGTAAATTCCGACCCCCTTGCTCCCCTGGACCGCCGTATTTCACAGCAGCCACACCCTGTATTTGTCTCTGTAGATTGCACTCATTATCAGGTTAATTTAGTGACTTAAACCACCATGATGGGACTTGCTTAAGCACAAGCTTCTTTTCCTGTTTAGTCCTAGTGGTTAGTGTCGAAAGAGGAATAATCGAGGTTTCTTGATGAAACCTGGTGCAGTCCAGCCTCTGCCTTTTTTTTTTTTTTTCTGTTGTCTTTTTCCTACTCCGGGCTGTTGGCGGTGTCAGCACCGCTGCTGGGGGCGGGGGTGGAGGGGAGAAAGAGTCGGGTTACCGAAGTGCGTCATTCCTGGCTCTAGCTGGGCCTGCTCGGGAGCTGCTGGTGTTTGTTACTGTCCTCGCAGCACTTTCCAGCCAACCTTCTATCTTGTGCGTATTGGTTAGGAGCAAAATCAGGAGGCGGTCTCCCAATTCTATCTGTAGCCTAGCGCGTTTCGTTTAAGGGTATATGTGAACTTATTTTTTTAAAAAAACCGGGTCCTGGAAAGTGGATACATTTCTGTTTAATGACATACAATTCAGGTAGTTTAGACTTGCTTTCATGTGTTTTCCAATGAACGGTGGGGTTAATTTTGAATATTTTCAACCACTTACGTTAAAATGCCTGGTTTTCTTTCTACATTGATACGAATCTATAATTAGGGATCAGAAGGACCAGCTAAGCCATAAGTGTTCAGCGGTTTTTCAAGTGGTTAAATTGTAATTTTATGACACATTATGTTAGTCTGTTTTTTTTTTTTTTCATTTTGAGCTAAGGTGCTACATGAATGCAACCTAGTTACACATGCTTAAGTTAATTTTCATCACATTCCTGTTTCTCCTTTTAGATATAATTTTAAATATGTCCTTTGGATCTTATGGACTTCATTAAAGTTATTAAAGATGACCCTTTTTTAGCTGAATTCTTAAATTTACCACCTAACAAGAAATTGTGTAGGGTGGCTTTACAGCTGCATGGTTAGACTTTTGTTTCTTGCTCTACGCAGTGTACTTACTGAGGTCATTGTTTTCCTCTTCATTCTTTTCTGAAGATAATTGGGAGAGGGAACAGGTGAAGGTAGAGATCAAACAAAAGTGGCCTTGAGTTGATGATTGTAGTAGGATGAGTGAGTACAGGAGAGAGATCATTGCACCATTTTTCTCTTTAGTTTTGTATGTACTGAAACTTCCATAATTAAGCAAATTTGAAGAAAAGATTTCAAGTTGCCTTGCAATTTTGGTGTAATAACTTAAACTTATATTTACATATCAGGTTATTTGAATGGGAGACTTGGCCTTGTGTATGAGTAATTATAGAATGCCTAATATACCAACTTTCAAAAATATTGAAATTAAACCAGTATAGAATGAGTGACAAAATGCTTATAAATCGGTTCAACTTTAAATGGTTGTAACTTAGTTTGAATGTTAATGCTCTTTTAGTTTTTAAAAATTTTTTTGAAAACAGGAAAATTCCATTGCCAAATTTTGTAAATTTTGCTTGCTGTCTATTTCATTAAGTTGGAGTTTGAGTTAAAGTGAGTCACTATGAAAGGATTTACTATTAATAGGAGGGGCTTTGGCAGTTGGAATAAGTGACAGTGGAAGGGATTCCAGTGCCCTAGGGAGCATTCCTGGTAGGAAGATCTGAGGTATCGGTTGAATTCAGTCAGTATTTGGTGTTTAATGAATGGGTAGACTAGAGGATTGGAAAAGAAATGTACTTACTAGCTATTCTTTCCCAGGGTGAAATAACTAGCATTCTAGTATCAGAGACAGGCAGTGGGGGTGGGTGCGTACCTTTGTTTTTAACTGATAGGAAAATTGTGTGTAAATGTAAAGGAGTAACCCCCAAGGATCTGGTGCTAGAGTTAAAGTTGATATGTAAAATGTTGTAATAGCATCCATTACAAAAATTCCGACCATTACCCATCAACTGTAAATAAAAGGGTAATGCAGTTAAAACCCTATCTCCTTAGTGTATTTGTGAATTGCTCCTAAATTCTTGGAAGGTAAGACCTTATCTTTTGCAGTTTTGTGGTGTTGAGGGTCAGATCTCCCCCCCATAAGATGTATTTTTGAATATATGTCAAGGTTCTAAAGGGAATCCAAAATAATGGGTATTTAATTTTAGGTTTGGTAAAGTGTGTTCCCTAATCATTGTGACAACAATTCACTCTCATCTGGTTACAGACGTTTTATAACTTTTAATATTAGTGTGTTTGTATATTTCATATTCGGCATGTTAGCTTAGAAGGATGTCAAGACAAATTGCATATCTTGAATTCCTATTTGTATGCAAATAATCTTAAGTAGATGATGAGGATTGTGGCTTCAAATTTATTTTATTGTGGTGAGGCAACAGCTAAACTACAAAACCAACAAATTATGAGTTTGGTAACTTTGAAGTCTATTTTGTTAGGGTTTTTTAAAAGCCCAAACTCAAGATTTTAATGAAATTAAATTGTACATTCCTTTTTCGTTGTTTTCTTTTTTGACCTTAATGACTTTGTTGGTCACCTCAGGACAGGTGAATTAAAATTGGTGGGGTTGGATGAAGAGCAGGCTTAAGTTCAAATTATCCTTTGGGAATATAGGGTTAGATGTGAAAATATGCGTGTGACAGTTTAGTAATGCTTAATATTCTGCATGTTTAACTGATGCCACCCACAGTCATATGTGGGAAGGGAGTAAACAGTGAATAGCTTATTCTTTTTGCTTTGGGTTCTTTATAATAGATGGAAGACTTCAGTTTTTGATACTGCAAGTTAAGTTTTGAGCTTAAAATTTACATTAAATGGGTGCAATGATCTGTCTCTCATATCTCATTGGGATAACATTCGTATCTCTTAAATGTTGTGACTTTTTGCATCTCATATTAAAAAACAAACAAACCCCGGACTTATATTAGCACTTTGAAATCGCTATTAGTAGGTTATTTGGAGACTTGAATGTGGCAGTTTACTGTCCAGTGGAGCATTGTGGTATACCTATTTTGGGAGTTAGGGAACATAGCAAAGGAAATGATAAATCCCAGTTAGCTGTGGGTATCAGTATATATGGAAATGTGATTAATCATTGGAGAGTAAAGAAAACTTTAAAGATACAGGTTATTTTACATATTCTTTACATTGTCTTCTGTAATCTACTTTTGATATATGTTTAGAACTTTTAATTTGCTCTTCAATACTGTCCTGGTATGGTAATTTTCTGTATCTCCGGATATCTTAAGCTGTGGTTATGGCATGTTCTGTTTGGCAAAGATATGTGAGAAAACAGAATTGTCAGTTTCATTTTTTTTTCAGTCTCTGGAGTTACCCATTTTGCATTTAATTTAACCAAATTTTATATATTACCAGTATAAATGGTATTGCTTGATGGAGTCGTGTTTTTTGTATATGTGCATTAAAAAAGCTGCATCTCTTTAGAGGCTGTGGCAATCTGTTGCCTGAACTGTGTTTTTAACGTATGCTTGTTGTAGTTCTATATTTGATAGTAACCAGAAGAAAGCAAGTTTT